CATGACAACGCACCATCTCATGCTGCAAAGAATACCTCTGCATCAATGGCTGCTATGGGGATAAAAGGAGAGAAAGTCATGGTGGCCTCCATCCTCCCCTGACCTCAATCCTATTGAGAACCTTTGGAGCATCCTCAAGCAAAAGATCTATGAGGGTGGGAAGCCGTTTACATCCAAACAGCAGCTCCGGGAGGCTATTCTGACATCTTGCAAACAAATTCAAGCAGAAACTGTTCAAAAACTCACAAGTTCAATGGCTGCAAGACTTGTGATCTGCTATCAGATAAGGGGTCCTATGTTACAATGTAACGTGACCTGTTAAAATGTTTAAAAAGTTAAAATGTTGTTAAAAGTTTGATTGAAATAGCTTTTGATTTCAGTAAATATGCTGCAAACACAACAAATGACAATTTTCAGTTCTTTACAACCTATAAAGTGTTTTGAAACTTCCTGTGCGGAATAATTTGGAACAAAAATCCTGCTATCATTAGGAGGTTTGTTCAATAAAATGTGAATTGTACTCTTAATAGTTGATAACATGAGAATTATGCTGACTGTTATTTACATCAATTATTTAGGTAAATGAGAAAAATATAATTTGCATAATAATTTGGAACACGGTGTACACAGAGGGATCAAAGACAGCTGATTGCTCAGGGTCTGCTCTGAGCAAAGAGCGGTGACTGTCAGTCACAGGCTCTCTGCTCAGGCTCCTAGCTGTATGCTGAAAGGCTGCGCTAGCTGCCAGTCAGACATCTGGGCTGATCCTGACATCCTAGACCGCCTCTGCAACATTATACGACAGAAGACTTTAGCCCGCCGTCAACTGAATCTAAGCCACATAGTGCAGAACTAAGTGTACTCCTGTGACCCACAGGAGAAGGGCCAAACAAGCTTTGTCCATACTTCTCCTTTAACGTGGGACTCCTGGAGACAAGTTTGACATGTATGTGAACCAGGGCTTACTAAAACTGGAGAGTGCAAAATATGGTGCAGCTGTGCATGATCTTTGCATTATTTGCTGCAGTAGAGGGCGGGGATAACATTGGGGTTCTAATAGACCCTTGATGCCTCCATAAAGAGGACAGTCACCTGTTCAATGCTATCACATAAAGGGCTTGAAAGCGGTCCGAGCAGCTCATTAGCCACTGGATACATTTCAGTAGCGTCCCTTCCTGACATTGTTTTTCAGGCGTACTGCTAGAAAACCAGCGGCCGGCAGCTAGCTGGTCACAGAGGCAATGAGACTCGGTCATCTCTGATCGCCTCTATGGCCTTGGAGGACTGGAGCATCATCATAAACGTCACTTTTGGTCCGGGGGGATGTAAACAAATTTTTTTTTTTTTTTTTTTTAAAGCAAAAGATCAGATTTTTTGGGGATCTTTTGCTTTTAAAGATAAAGGAGAGATTTTGGGTCTTTTTGACCACAGATCTCTCCTTAAACAGGACCTATCATCCTTATTTGTATTACAAGGGATGATTACATTTAGGATAGGAATAAAAGTGATCAACAAAAAAAATAAAGGGACAGTTTTAAAAATAAATAATTAAAAAAAAATTAAAGCACCCCCTCATTATTTATTTATTTATTTATTTATCGAGTTTATATAGCGCCAAAGGGTTTGCTCAGCGCTGTACAATAGAGGGGGGGGGGACAATACATGAAACAGTACAGTAACATCAAACAGCACACAAGAGGTAAGAGGGCCCTACTCTTTCGAGCTTACAATCTAGGAGGGAGGGGGTAGAGGTACAGGAGGAAATGGCTGTGGGGGATGGAGTGGTAGGAGGAGGGAAGGGCAGCGGCTGTTAGGTGAGGGTGGGGAAGGCTTCCCTGAAGAGGTGGGTTTTCAGGGAGCGCCTGAAGGTGAGGAGGGAAGGTGACAGTCTGATAGATTGGGGTAGTGAGTTCCAGAGGATGGGGGAGGACCTGGAGAAGTCTTGCAGTCGTGCGTGGGAGGAGGAGACCAGGGAGCAAGATAGGAGGTCCTGTGAAGAGCGAAGGGTACGGGTAGGGTGGTACCTGGGAGTTCAGGTCGGTGAGGTAGTTAGGGGCAGTGTTGTGAATGGCCTTATAGGTCAGAGTGAGTAGTTTGAATTTAATGCGTTGGGCAATGGGGAGCCAGTGGAGGGAGAGGCAGAGGGGGGTGGCAGAGGTGGAGCGGCTGGTGAGATGGATGAGTCTGGCAGCTGAGTTCAGGATGGTCTGAAGCGGGGAGAGTTTGCACTGGGGTAGGCCGGTGAGGAGGGAGTTACAGTAGTCAAGGCGTGAGATAATCAGGGAGTGTATGAGTAGTTTAGTGGTGTCTGGGGTAAGGAAGGAGCGTATCTTGGAGATGTTCCGGAGGTGGAGCCTGCATGTGTTTGTGAGTGATTTGATATGAGGTTGAAAGGAAAGGTTTGAGTCCAGAATGACGCCAAGGACCTTGGCTTGCTGGGCGGGATTGATGGTGGTGTTGTTGGTAGTGATGGAGAGGATGGGGGGGGGGGGGGGCGGGAAAGGGGGAAAGACGAGAAGCTCGGTTTTTGAGAGGTTGAGTTTGAGGAAATGGAGCGACATCCAGTCAGAGATGTCGTTTAGGAGGTGAGTGATGCGGGCGGAGAATGTGGGGGTGAGGTGAGGGGTGGATAGGTAGATTTGAGTATCATCAGCGTACAGGTGGTAATTGAAGCCGTGGGAGTGTATGAGTTTGCCAAGGGAGGAGGTGTAGATGGAGAAGAGAAGGGGTCCAAGGACAGAGCCCTGGGGGACCCCAACAGAGAGGGGGAGGGAAGAGGAGGTGGCACCGTTGTAGGAAACGCTGAAGGAGCGTTGGGATAGATAGGATGAGAACCAGGAGAGAGCGGTGTCTTTGATGCCAAGGGAGAGTAGTTTGTTAAGGAGGAGGGGGTGGTCAACTGTGTCAAAGGCTGCGGAGAGGTCTAGGAGAAGGAGGACAGAGTAGTCGCCTTTGGCTTTGGCGGTTAATAGATCGTTGGTGATTTTGAGGAGGGCAGTTTCGGTGGAGTGTAGGGGACGGAAGCCGGACTGAAGTGGGTCAAGGAGGTTGCTGTCAGTTAGGTGGGTGCTTAAGCGATCGTAGATCAAGCGCTCAAGGAGCTTGGAAGTGAGTGGCAGCAGGGAAATTGGTCTGAGGTTGTTGAGGTCGGTGGGGTCAAGGGAGGGCTTTTTGAGTATAGGGGTGATGTGCGCATGTTTTAGGGGGGAGGGGAAGACGCCAGTAGAGAGGGAGAGATTGAAGATGTGGGTAAGGGAGCGGATGAGGGAAGGTGGATCATCTCTCCATTGATCTGCATGGCTGTTGTCACAGAAGGAAGCCTCTTCCAAAGATGATGCACAAGAAAGCCCGCACACCGTTTGCTGAAGACAAGCAGACTAAGGACTTGAATTACTGGAACCATGTCCTGTGGTCTGATGAGACCAAGATAAACGTATTTGGTTCAGATGGTGTCAAGCATGTGTGGCGGCAACCAGGTGAGGAGTACAAAGACAAGTGTGTCTTGCCTACAGTCAAGCATGGTGGTGGGAGTGTCATGGTCTGGGTCCCCATGGTGGTGGGAGTGTCATGGTCTGGGTCCCCATGGTGGTGAGAGTGTCATGGTCTGGGGCTGCATGAGTGCTGTCGGCACTGGGAAGCTATAGTTCATTGAGGGAACCATGAATGCCAACATGTACTGTGACATACTGAAGCAGAGCGTGATCCCCTCCCTTCGGCGACTGGACCGCAGGGCTGTATTCCAACATAACCCCAAACATACCTCCAAGACCACCTCTGCCTTGCTAAAGAAGCTGAGGTGAAGGTTATGGACTGGCCAAGCATGTCTCCAGACCTAAACCCTATTGAGCATCTGTGAGGCATCCTCAAACGGAAGGTGGAGGAGCGCAAGGTCTCTAACATCCACCAGCTCCGTGATGTCGTCATGGAGGAGTGGAAGAGGACTCCATTGGCAACCTGTGAAGCTCTTGTGAACTCCATGTAGAAGAGGGTTATGGCAGTGCTGGAAAATAATGGTGGCCACACAAAATATTGACACTTTGGGTCCAATTTGAACATTTTCACTTAGGGGTGGACTCACTTTTGTTGCCAGCGTCTTAGACATTAATGGCGGTGTGTTGAGTTATTTTGAAGGGACAGCAAATTTACGTTATACAATCTGTACACTGACTACGTCACATTGTAGCAAAGTGTTACATGAAAAGTGTTGTCACATGAAAAGAGAGAATCAAATATTTACAAAAATGTGAGAGGTGTACTCACTTCTGTGAGATTGTGTGTGTGTGTCATGTTTGTGGGTTTTAAATAATTATCTAGCAAAAAGTACTGATTTAAACGGAAAATGCTTGGTCTAAATGAAGATTAAAGAAAATTATAATAAAAAAAGATTAAACATAACCTCATCATCCTGCAGGATGAAAGAAGCAGAAGTAAAGGCAGTGCTTTGCCTCATGTCAAAGATGCTGCCCTAGTGACTGGTGGGGTAGTGATGAAGCAGCAAAAGATGGGCAGGAAGCACAAATCCTTAAAATAAATGAAGCAGAAATGGGGTTCCGTGTACCACTGCAGGTCTTCAGGTACAGTTTTCTCTCCAGCAATGAGAACATCGACCAGCAATACAGACATCTCACCAATTTTCACTCCAAATCTGGTGGGACTAACAGTCAGAGGCAGCATGGCCTTAGATGATCTCACACTGCAGATATACAGCTATAAGGCTACAGAATAGGAGTGTCTAGGCACAAGTAGTACACTGCTATTTTTCTTCAGAAATTCAGAGCAAAAGTTTAGATACTGGTGCTTAGGCTCAATTCAGAACTCTAAATGTTCCCTATAGAATTGCAATATATGCCTGTAAATCCCATTTGTTTTATCAGGTATAACTCCAAGAACATATATTCCATTTGACGGTACTGTATTGCAGAGCTTTGCTTCATCAGTCCAGCAGCACATTATGTTTGCTTTCCAAAACGCTGACCTTGTCCTTTTCTGTCTTCCCTCAGGCCCTTAAATTGAGAGAGTCTTGTGACTGCCCTCCCCTCAACTCTGTTGACCCCAGATTAATTTTCGAGCAGAGCATGAAGCTTCTTCTACAGTCCTCAAGAGAACGGGATGACAGAGCGATAAAAGGCGACCTCCATCCTGTCTGCACAGATGACGAAGCTCCTATCACTGCAGCAGTCAAAGCAGCATAGCCGATTATTCAACATTTCACCGCCGTCTACATTCATTGTGAAAACTGACATCGCCCGGGAATGTTTTATCAATAGATTTCCTGGGCCTTTTCTTGTGTCCCTTGTGTGTCTGTAGATGAGATTTTTTTTTGCTGGTAAGATTTGTAGAAATATTTTTATGTGAAATGATCAAGGTTAGTACATTTCAGCTTTTAATACAACATGAAAATAAGGACAAATTTCCAGCAGATCTATTTCTATAGTTTATTTTTTCTGAGAGCGATTATTGTAACATTTACTGGAAAGTTGATTTTTTTTTAATGTGAATTTCATATTTGTGTTTCTCGTACAGATATGAAGGTGCTGCAACTCTTTGCCTTTTTTTCCTGCCTTTCCATGTGACATTTATTTACTTATTTCAGATTCCTATATAATGCCAATTCATGCAGCGCTTTACACATATATTATACATTTACATCAGTCCCTAACCCTCAAGGGGTGTACAATCTAAGGTCCCCAACTCACATTCATACATACACATACTAGGGGCAACTTACCCTAGGTTCACACCTATGCGGCCGTGCGGGCCGCATTTTGCTCGGGCACAAGAGTTCATTCATTTGAATGGACTCCCGTGCCTGTGACACGCAGGGAAAGAAGTCCCTGCACTACTTTGAAAAACGTAGCCCACACAGGAACCTTGGTTCGCAGTACGGTTGCGTTTCCCAGTGCGGGTGGCATGCCATTAGAACTAATGGCAACCGCCCGCGGGTCCGCAATTCTCTGTGAGGGTTTTGCGGATGCATGGATTTGTGTGCAGATCCGCAGTGGCACCACCCGCCTAGATGTGAACCGGGGTTTAGACAGGGGCCAGTTAATCTACCAGAATGTCTTTTGGGTGTGGGAGGAATCCCATGCAGGCTCAGGGAGAACATGCAAACTCCAGGCAGGTAGTTCCATGGTTGGCATTCAAACCAATGATCCTAGTGCTGCCAGGCAGAAGTGTTAACCACTTAGTCACTGTGCTGCCCCCATGACACTGGATTCGTTTAGGTGATTCTGGATTTTGGAAACTTTTTTTTTTGTCTAAAATCCAGATTAGCTAGAGGTGGGGGTGGTCTTTTTTTTCTTTTTTTTTTTTGCCATTGGTTGGGTTTTACAGGAACCTGTCACAAGTGAAATACATAGGCAGAGCCCTCATTCTGAAATACTGTCAAGCTGAGTCAGTATTTTCTGATTCACTATCCTAAATTGAGTATGTGTGCTTGTTTTTAATTATTGACTGAAGCCAGAGACAGTTAGGCAGGCAGCATTTTCATGAAGAGTTTAGCAATGGAAGCTTACATACTTATTTCTTGTCCATTGGGGGGACACAGGAAGTCGTACACCTTCAGGTTATACTGCCGCTTACAGGGGGATTGGACACTGGCATACAGAAAACAAAAAAACCTGTAGGACAGCCTAGGGCACCAGCATGCTTTTGTTTTTTGCTAGTATCCTACGGTGATGGACATATTTTCTTTGTCTCTGTTGTCTTAAGGACTAATCTGTTTTTTTTTGGGTAGCACTTTTTTTTCTTCAAACAAGACTCTTATCGACATTGCTGGAAATGTTTCTTATTTTAAATTGCAGCTACAGTTGCAAGAAAAAGTATGTGAACCCCTTGGGATTACGTGGAGTTTGGCATGAATTGGGCATAAAATGTGCTCTGAACGTCATCTAAGTCACAACAATAGAAGAACACAGTCTGCTGAACATAATACTACACAAACATTAGATGTTGCCATGGTTTTATTGCACATAACATGTAAACATTCACAGTGCAGGGAGGAAAAAGTATGTGAACCTTTGGACTTAATAACTGGTTGACCCTCCTTTGGCAGCAATAACCTCAACCAAACGTTTCCTGTAGTTGCAGATCAGACCTGCACAATGATCTGGAGTCATTTTGGACCACTCCTCTTCACAAAACTGTTTCAGTGTAGCAATATTCTTGGGATGTCTGGTGTGAATCGCTCTCTTAAGGTCATGCCACAGCATTTCAATCGGGTTGAGGTCAGGACTCTGACTGGGCCACTCCAGAAGGCGTATTCTGTGCTGTTGCAGCCATTGTTATGTTGAATTACTTGTATGCTTTGGGTCATTGTCCTGTTCCATCACCCATCCTCTGCGGAGCTTCAGTTGGCGGACAGATGGTCGTACGTTTTCCTGCAAAATGTCTTGATAAACTCTGGAATTCATTTTCCCATCAATGACAAGAATCCGTCCAGGCCCTGAGGCAGCAAAGCAGCCCCAAACCATGATGCTTCCTCCGCCATGTTTTACAGTGGGGATGAGGTTTTGATGTTGGTGTGCTGTGCCTTTTTTTCTCCACACATAGTGTTGTGTGTTCTTCCCAAACAACTCAATCTTGGTTTCATCTGTCCACAGTATATTTTGCCAGTAGTGTTGTGGAACATCCAGGTGCTCTTTTGCAAACTTCAAACGTGCTGCAATATTCTTTTTGGACAGCAATGGCTTCCTCCGTGGTGTCCTCCCGTGTACTCCATTCTTGTTTAATGTTTTCCTTATTGTAGATGTGTCAACAAAAATGTTAGCATGTGCCAGAGATGTCTGTAGGTCTTTAGCTGACACTCTGGGATTCTTCTTTACCTCATGCAGCATTCTGCGCTGTGCTCTTGCAGTCATTTTTACAGGACGACCACGCCTAGGGAGAGTAGCAACAGTGCTAAACTTTCTCCATTTGTAGACAGTCTGTCTTACCGTGAACACATGAACATCAAGGCTTTTGGAGATACTTTTGTAACCCTTTCCAGCTTCATGCAAGTCAACAATTCTTGATCGTAGGTCTTCTGAGAGCTCTTTTTTCTGCGAGGCATGGTTCACATTAGACAGTGCTTCTTGAAACCAGTAAACCCAAAAACAGGTGTGTGTTTTTTTTAAGGGCAGGACAGCTGTCAGCAACACATCCAATATCATCAGACTGATTGGAGTCAAGGTTGGCTCACTCCTGGCTCCAATTAGCTCTGGGAGACGTCATTAAGCTAGGGCCTCACATACTTTTTCCTCCCTGCACTGTGAATGTTTACATGTTATGTGCAATTAAACCATGGCAACATCTAATGTTTGTGTAGTATTATGTTCAGCAGACTGTGTTCTTCTATTGTTGTGACTTAGATGACGTTCAGAGCACATTTTATACCCAATTCATGCAAAACTCCACGTAATCCCAAGGGGTTCACATACTTTTTCTTGCAACTGTATATGGTACAGTGACCCTCAGACTGCATTTTGGAGTCCATGTCTGGACCCTGCTGGACTGGACAATCAGGGTTTACACTGGAAGTAACCTTTGTGCACTGAATTCCACTCTGGAAATGTTAGCTGCAGAGCACTTTCTAGTCCCAGAGCCACTGGCCTTACCTCAGCATTTGCCTTGTCTATGAAGACTTATTTAGTGAGTGGGCCAGTTGAGCCAAACATCTGAAGCTACCTCATTTGCATAGATTTCTGGTGCCTTAATTCCCTGTTTCCCCCATTTGTTGCCAAATAAGGGGTTAATGTGGTGGGAGTGAGCTCTGATGTCATCCGCTGGGTGCAGTGTTGCGTATGCATGCTACCCTCTCTCTTTCCCACCCTACAGCTTCAAGGAAGAATCTATTCGATGCTGCTCCTGCTTGTAACAACCACATGGAACTTCGATCCATTCCTACTGCCCATCTACAGTGAGTTTAGTCACCGCAGGCCATCAGACCCTCCCTTGCCACTAGCTTTCCAGGTTTTTGAATACCTGATGCCTTGCCTTAAGCCTATATGTTGCCTTACCACCATGTGGTAGAAACTTCTCTGATTTTAGACACAGAGGGGACAGTCCTGGGATGCCCCCAGCTGACTTTCTACTAATAGTTCTGGTTGCAGCAGGCCTACTACCAGTACTTGGAGTCTCTTCTTTTATTAGAGTCCTCTTTAGTCTTGTCAGTTGTAGATGCATCCTTTGCCCTTTTGATGAGGTCTTTTCCACGGGCATGCAAGACTTGATGACCCAAATCACCCACTTATTTGCTGACACTAATTGCAGAGGCCGCAAGCACACTCATCTGCAGATTCTGAGTTGCCCCCAAGAGTAGCAGCATATAAGCCATTGACTTCAGAGACTCTGTATGATTCTTAGTTGCTCTGATTCTTAGTCCTTGACTACTGAGCTTACCCCTGAGGGTAAACTATCAATCCCAAATTGAAAGAGACTGTTTCAGTTTATATTGATACAGTGCCCACCACACTGAACCTAGAGGATCAGCCTCTTGCTTCTACCAGTGATCTTTTCAGGCTTGGGTCATTTAAAACTCCTAAGGCCTCAAAGGCTTTCCTTTTCCACCTGCCTTTTGTAACCATTTCCTTACGGAGAGTGAAAGCATCCTGATAAGTTATTTGCTCCCCCCCTAGTGCTTATTAGCATTGTATCAATTTTATGAGGATTTTGTGCAGATGTGATTGGAAGCCTTTTCTAGAGCTCTGTACTAATTGGCAGGCCCTGTCCTTCACCTGATCCTAGCTTTACTTTACGTTACTATTGTCCAACCTTGCCCCTTTGATTAAATTCCTTAAAGATCTAACCACTGCCTTAATTGATCCCTTGCTGTGGAGCAGATGGCTGTAGCATGACCTATTAGTTGTGATGGCTTGCTGGAAGCCCCTTGTCTCATCTCATGCAAGTGTAAAATATCTTTATATATGGGTAGGGCACTTTAGCTTAGGTTTTGGACCGTGGAATCCTTGTGTGAAAAAATGTCTGACTTGGATGGCCTTTGAGGAGCAACATCTCTTCAGATTGACTCTTGCTAGTATTATTAAGGGTAGTACTGGTGCTCCACAGTGGAAGAAGCCTTAGGAAAAGGCTGCAAAGTGTCTTCTTTTCTGTTAAGAAACTTCCCTTTCTCCCCTCCCTTGATCTCCTCACTGAGAGCTTCAGTCTACGTCTGCCAAATTTTCAGACAAGCTTTCCTCGGCATGAAGATACCCTC